ATGCTCCGTGAGATCCCCTGAAACAATGGGCACAGACTTAAGTGAAGGCAGAGGCAATGGGAGGCACCCCAAACACTCCAAAACCAGCATAGCCTTCCCAGGCCCAAATTTCAGGCATCCGTGGCCTCAGTTATTCTCAGTGGCTCCAGAACCTTCAGCAAAGACATTCACACACTATTCAGTGCACACGCTTTATTTTGGCATTCAAGCCACTGCACCAACTGGGTCACACGGAATGTTAATTAAGGCAAGGTAGGCAGAAGGAAAGGAGGGCATGTACAGCAATTGCTCCTCTTTACGGAGAAGAGAACCTGCCGCAGAAAAAGATGCAGTTGGTTTTGTGGTGCCTGATGAAGAAAAGGAAAGGGTGGTCTGCACAGAATCTTGGCTCCATTCTGCTACACCGGGAATTCCTGACCACAGCAGTGGCTGCAGCAGCCTCTGTGCCTTCCTCATTGACCTCCACAAAGCACTTGTGGGCAACCTTGGACACAGGCACATTCTTCTTAGTTGACATTCCAGAAAAGTCTGCCTTGGCTTCATCAAAAGCATCGATCATTCCTAACCTTCGAAGGAAAAGCTCCAAGTCATAACTCTCCTCCAGCTTTAATCTGGGAAGGAAAACTTGAACCTTACTTTTTGTCAACTTTTCTGAATTTGTCCAGGCTTTGAATTTCTCATATGTAAGTGCTTTTTCCACCTAGGATAAGAAAGAGCCAAACCTTAATATTTAGATGACAATAGCCTGATACCCGCACACCTATTTGTTAGCCCTCCACTAATGACATGCAACTAGATGGTAAGTTCTGGTCCAAGAAAATCTGCAGATACTTTCTTTTATAAACACCAAGATTTTCTCCCAAATCTTCATCTTTTCCAAGTTTTATGGAGACAAGTGTAAAAGAGCTAGTAAATACCTGAGACAGGCAGAAATTTTTAATAAAAACAATTTGTACCTAACTCCTTTCAAATGTTAAAAACATTTTTTAGCAGTTTAGAAAATTCTAACCAATTCATTACATTAATCTTCACGCAGTACATATTACTGTGAGTGGGAGAGATTGTTTGACAAAAAATAAACAGCATGGCTCAGAACTCTGCTTCTGAGTCTAATCAGGCGACTATTCAGGGTTAAATCAGAGGGCAACTCTTACAGAGCAAAGGAGAGGGAATTGGGTTTCATCTGAAGATGAAGGGAGGCATGAGAAGGGAGCACGAGACAAGAAATGCGGAATTCAACAAGACTTCATCTGGTATCCTTGTTTGTCCTCTGCCTGTCCTGGAGTTAGCTTCAAATTCTTCAAGATCCATCACTCTTTCTATTTATCAGTAAGGTAGAAAGAAAAAAGGAAGAAGGGCCTTCCACTCGCATCTCCCTTTCCCTTTACCAACTGGAGCCCAGGTGGGTGCTCTTCTCCAATGAGCATTGTTTTGATTTTGACTCTATTTCTAGACTCTCCTAATTTTTTCATAAGTGGCCACAACAGATGTCATCCCTGACTTAGGGCAATAACTTTCTGATTCCAAAGGGAAGCCAGGAAAATCAAGCAGCCCACCCTCAACATCCTGAGAACTTGTGTGCCAGAGCTGGCTCCTATCGATCGTTAAACCCTTCATAGCCTAAAGTCAGCCATGGTGGGAGTGTTTACCATGTCATGAGAATCAGCAAACTTTATAAATGAAGGCTACTCCCACCTCCCAGAGCTGGTTTACCAGTGCACTATTAGTCTTGCACCTCCTACCTTGCAAGTTTTCCTTTTCCCTTTCTGGACTCTGCTCCTTTTCTGTCATAGTAAGACTTTTCTCTCCTCTTGTATAAGGTAAATTTCCCACTTGTACTTTAGACTTTTGCTATTCACAGTGTGATCCCAAGCATCTGTATCACTTGGAATCTTGTTTCAAATGCAAGACCTCAGGCCACACTCCATTGAACCAAAATCTGCACTTTAACAAGATCACTAGAATCATATATGTGCATTAAGGTTTGAGAATCACTGCCCAGATTGATCTCTACCCTCTTCCAGGACTTTTGTGCAATAATCATTAGGCTTTCAAGTAGATCTTCCATGCAGAATAAATAATAATATTCCAAATGACCACACGGATTCACAGCCGAATTCTACCAGAGGTACAAGGAGGAGCTGGTACCATCCCTTCTGAAACTATTCCAATCAATAGAAAAAGAGGGAATCCTCCCTAACTCATTTTATGAGGCCAACATCATCCTGATACCAAACCTGGGAGAGACACAAACCAAAAAAAGAGAATTTTAGACCACTATCCCCTGATGAACATTGATGCAAAATCCTCAATAAAATACTGGCAAACCGAATCCAGCAGCACATCAAAAAGCTTATCCACATGATCAAGGTGGGCTTCATCCCTGGGATGCAGGCAGGGTCAACATACACCAAAATCAATAAAGTGTAATCCAGCATATAAACCAGAACCAAAGACAAAAACCACATGATTATCTCAATAGATGCAGAAAAGGCCTTTGACAAAATTCACAGCCCTTCATGCTCTAAAAACTCTCAATAAATTCGGTATTGATGGAATGTATCCTCAAAATAATAACGAGCTATTTATAACAAACCCACAGCCAATATCATACTGAATGGGCAAAAACTGGAAGCATTACCTTTGAAAACTGGCACAAGACAGGGATGCCCTCTCTCAGCACTCCTATCTCAACATGTGTTGGCAGTTCTGGCTAGGGCAATCAGGCAAGAGAAGAAATCAAGGGTATTCAGTTAGGGAAAGAAGAAGTCAATTGTCCCCTGCTTGCAGATGACATGCTTATTATATTTAGAAAACCCCATCATCTCAGCCCAAATCTCTTAAAGCTGATAAGGCAATTTCACAAAGTATTCAGGAGACAAACTCATGTGCAAAATCACAAGCATTCTTGATACACCGTACACAGCAGACAGAGAGCCAAATCATGAATCGACTTCATTCACTTGCTTTTCAAAGAGATAACAAATACTAGGAATCAACTACAGGATTCAGAAAAGAACCTCTTCAAGGAGGAACTACAAACCACTGCTCAGTGAAATAATAAGAGGACACAAACAAATTGGAAGAACATACCATGTCCTGGATTAGGAAGAATCAATATCGAAAAAGGCCCATACTGCCCAACCGCGTCCCCAGTTTATAGATTCAATGCCATCTCCACAAGCTACCAATGATCTTTCTTCACAGATTGGCAAAAACAACGCTTTAAATTATATGGAGACCAAAAAAAGAGCCTGCATGGCCACAGTCAACGCTTAAGTAAAGAACAAAGCTGGAGTCATCACACTACCTGAGCTTCAACTTCACTACAAGGTAATACGTGAACAAACACAGCACTCGGTACTGGTACCAAAACAGAGATATAGGACCAGTGGAACAGAACAGGCCTCAGAAATATATACCACAACTCTACAGCCATCTGATCTTTGGACCAAAGCTGGAGAAAACGAAGTAAATGGGGGAAAGGGATTTCCCATTTAATCAAATGTCTGCCGAAAACTGGCTAGCCATAAGCCAGAAGCTAGAAACTGGAATGCCTTATCTTCTCCTTATATGAAAATTAATTCACGATGATTAAGAACTTAAATGTTACCTAATACCAATAAAAACCCCAGAAGAAACCTAGCAAATACCTTCAGGACATGGCATGGTAGACTTCATGTTAAAACACCACAAACAAACGCAACAAAGCCAAATTGGACAAATGATTATTCAACTAAGAGCTTCTGCACCAGCAGAAACTTACCATCAGAGACAGCAACCTACAGAATGGAGAAAATTTCTTGCAATCCTCTCATCTGACAATGGCTATATCCAGAACCCTTACAAGAATCAAACAAATTCAAAAAAAAAACCAAACAACCCCACAGGGAAAGTGGGGCAAGAAATATGAACAGACATTTCTCAAAGAAGACATGCATACAGCCAACAGACACATGAAAAAATGCTCGTCATCACGGCCATCAGAGAAATGCAAATCAAAACCACAATGAATACCATCTCATACCAGTTAGAATGGCAATCATTAAAAAGTCAGGAAACAACAGGTGCTGGAGAGGATGTGGAGAAATAGGAACACTTCTACACTGTTGGGTGGGATTGTTAAACTAGTTCAACCATTTGTGGAAACAGTATGGTGTTCCTCAAGGATCAGAAATAGAATACCATATGACCCAGCCATCCATTACTGGGTATTATACCCAAAGGATTATAATCACGCTGCTATAAAGGACACTGTACACGTATGGTTTATTGCAGCAGTATTCACAATAGCAAAGACTTGGAATCAACCCAAATGTCATCAGTGACAGACTGATAAGAAATGTGGCACATATTACACCATGGAATACTATGCAGCCATAAAAAGGATGAGTTCAGTGTCCTTTGTAGGAACGATGGGGTGCAGCTGGAAACCGTCACCTCAGCAAACTTTCGCAAGAACAGAAAACCAAACACCGCATGTTCACTCATAGGTGGGGAATTGTAACGTGAGATCCACTTTGGCAGTGGGAAGGGAACATTCACCACACCGGCCTATTATGGGGGATGGGGGAGGGGGGAGGGGGGAGGGATGGCACTGGGAGTTATAACTGATGTAAATGACAAGTTGATGGGTGCTGACGAGTTGATGGGTGCAGCACACCACCATGGCACATGTATACATATGTAACAAACCTGCATGTTGTGCACATGTACCCTAGAACTTAAAGTATAATAAGAATAAAAAAAGAATATTCCAATTAACAATATATTTAGAACTCTCTCTTCTTAGGTTCATCAAAACGTGTCCACTCATATATGTATACACTCAACAGAAAAGCATGAACATATTCACCAAAAGACACGCAATGATGTTCACCCAGCACTACACGTAATAACCCCAGTTGGAAACTCCTCAAATGCCAACTGGTAGACAGACATAAAGAAATGAGCTCGGCTGGACTCCACAGACACTCAAAGACTCACTGCCTGGAGCTTACCACGGCGAGGTCCGTGTCATCATCGGGAAGCAGAATGACCATGCTCAGCTCCTCTTCCACATATGGCAGCTCCAGGACCTGGGTGTGCACCTCGTCCACATACCCTATTTTAAATTTAGCTTCCTTAAACATCATCTGCACTGTCTTTTTTTCCTAATAGAAACATGAAATTAAAATTAGATCACTGAAAAATGGGCATAATTTACTAAAAATAGGATACATCTAACTCACAGAAACTCTAGGTGTGTGTAATTTCTGTTTCTGCACATTTATGCTGATGGATATAAAATCTTCATTAGTACATCTTAGTATGAAGAGAACAAACTATTGTTCCAGCAAATCAACTATTACCAGGTGAGGAAAAAAAAAAACAGTTTGGTAAATGGAGAAGGGCATAAAAATCTACATTATTCTTGGAAGAAGTTGTGTTTGCTTTTTTGAGAACATTCATAGAGAAGCTTTCTCATGGAAGCCTCCAACTAAAAATTATTTATTGAAATTAAGGTAAATATTCAGGCCCTTGGGCTGAAGGATCTGGTTAGAAAAGAGGTACAGTACAAACTCTGAAAAGTTGCCCACGTGTAGAACTGGTTTTATGGCCTTGGTTTTCTTGGGAAGGGGACCTTGAAGAGATGTGTAAAGTCTGCTATTTTTAAAGCTTGCATCAAATATATTTTTAACTTTCATATGTTTGTGCAATATGAAATTATCAGGTTGATAGATGTCAACTCCCAAGCTAACAACTATTGATACCAGTCATTTTCATATTCAAAAGGGAATGTAAAGTTAGGGCTTTACATCTGCTAACATCTTTTTCTTGTGTTCAGGATTGTATAACTTTGATTTTTAAGGCAATAAACAGGCATAGTTGCCACTCATATTGCAAAAAGGTATCTAACTAGCTATAGACAGTAATAGCATCATGTAAACATAATTCCAAGGCTTAGAAGAAATTCTTCTCCAATCCAAATCATATGACCAGAGATGGAAGGTAGATTTGATCAAAGATGGAAAAACAAAACCATCAATACCAAAATTAGTTTTGTTTCTCTCCTCCTTCCGACATTAAAGACATACAGGAGGCATTAAATTCATTCAGAAAAAAAGCCAGGCACAGTGGCTTATGCCTGTAATCCCAGAACTTTGGGAGGATAAGGCGGGTGTATCACTTGAGGCCAGGAGTTCGAGACCAATCTGGGCAATATGACAAAACCTTGTCTCTACAAAATACACAAAAATTAGCCAGGACTGGTGGTGTGCACCTGTAGTCCCAGCTACTTGGGAAGCTAAGGTTGGGTGATCATTTGCGCCTGGGAGGTCGAGGCTGCAGTGAGCTGAGATTGCACCACTGCACTCCAGCCTGGGTGACAGAAAGAGACCCTGTCTCAAAGAAAATAAAATAATATAATTCAGAAATAGATTAAAATCAAGATCATGTCAAATAAATTATTCATTTTTCTAAAAGAATATTTCCTGTAATATTACTTTAAGAAAGTAGCAGTATATCTGAAAACTCTTTCCCTACCTCGTTGGTTTTAAAGAGCATCCCCCTTGTGTACTTTCTGTCAAATTGCTCATTCCACTTTCCCTTGAAATAGACGGCATTCACAAGGACCAGCTTTGTCAGGGGACCGACTGTCCCAGCATCCAGTACCTCTGAAATCTTACCTATAAAGAATATGAGAGTTTATTGCAATTTGTGGGGAAACAAGCATTATTTTACAAAAATCACTGTGACACCTAAGGCAGGGGCTTGAGAGAGAGCCTGGAGTTCTGTCTTTCTGGCCACCCGATGAATTGGGCGATGGTGTTTAGCAGTGTGGCATACACAGTGTATCGTTCGTGCTTAAGAAAAAAGCCTTTGAAGTAGGAAGGGCAACTATCATTTTGCCCTCAATTTACGGATGTAGAAATTCAGGATCAGAGCATTTGCCAGACTTTTTTGCCGAGTGCACACAGGTGACAAGTGGCTGAGTTGAGAACATCACCTCAGAGTCTTGATTCTGACTATGGGGTAGTCAACCTTGGCACTATCATATCCAAGCCTCACCACTATTGTCATCTTAAGCCAAATAATTCTTTGTTATGGGGGCCGTCTTGGGCATTGTAGGATGTTTAGCCAGCGGCATTTCTTCCAATTTTGACAACCAAGACTATCTTCAGCCATTATCTAATGGCACCTGGAGGACAAAGCCACCCCTAGTTGAGGATCATTGCTCTATACATATATTCTAACCTCATCAGACAAGGAAAGGCTTCCAAAGGATGAGAGAACATAGACCTGTCAATGGGAGAAGGCAGCCTCTCTGAAAGGGGTGAATGGGGCAAAGGAATTAGGGGGATGGAATAGAGGGGCCCAAGTTGAGCTGTCCAATGAGAGGATAACAAGGTCATCTCCAAGGTCCCCTCCAGCTCTAATATTCTGGGGGTCAGCCTAATGGAAGGAAGGGTATAAGCAGCCCTGGAAGAGAAGTGACAGGTATAGAGCAGTGGGGGGAAGGTGTAGAGAAGCTTCTAGATTCCTCAGGTGACAGTACTGCTGAACAACTGGAGAGACCACTGGGCAGATGACATATGAAAACACGAAAGGCTCTTCCCTTCCCATGGTAATTATTTTATTGGCTTTCAGTAGAACCACGGGCATTACTTGTGTTAGACACACAGTGGTTGTGACATAGAGATGGAACGCATGCAATAATGAGGGCTAGGTTGGCCCCTGAAACACGTGACTTAATTCCTCCACTCTTTACAAGTACCTAAATTACTTGTTAGGTATTTAGGATGCTTTAAAGGATGCCTCCCCTTTTTTCCTACTGAAGTAAAGAACTGGCAGAAATATTTCTGGTGGGATGGAGTGTGGTCTGGGCAGGGAACACTGCAGGCTCCATGTTGCTGCACATCCAGAATAGGGAGCAAATTCAGAAAAGGCCGCACTCAGAGAGCAAATGTAGCCACGGCCAAGTTAAAAAGGAAGGAGAAGGCTGCAGATCAAACTACTAAGTTGTCCCCATGACCACAGGGAGGAGATAACATGAGAGCCCTCTTTAAGCTGCAACTTAATTGAATGCCATTCCGTCTCCGAGCATGGAAGGGCCTCTCAGAGAGAAGATTAACAGGATTCCAAGGAGGAACTATTTTCCAGGGATTTTCCAGCATGGTCCACAGGGGAGGAGGTCTGAGATTCAACATTAGTTTTAGAAAATAGTACTTCACGATCTGATAAGAAACGACAGAATTGCATTGTTGGCCTGCAAACTCAGCAATACACACAAACAGGCCTGTGGTAAGCAGGTCACAGTGGCAACACCATAGAGGTCCCATCCCAGCCAATCTCAGCCTCGCTGCGTAGCAATTCCAAATCCACAGAAATGAAACTGTCTCACCTTCAGTCTTTTCTGCCACCCAGTCATTTATATGTTTCCTGCACTCTTCCGTATCTCCAGCAAAGGATAGCTCCTCCAGCTCTGCCTGATAGAACTTCTGACAGGATTCTTTAAAGTCCTGCAAACACAAAACACTGAGTTTGGTCTCATTGGGTAAAGGCTCCCACAAATGCAAAAGCATTTTGTTTTCTCTTACTGCGTTTCTACCGTAAGTGCTTGGACAGGTCACACTGCACTTTATGGTGCATGCATGCAATGAACGAAAACCTATTCTTCCCTGGTACTGGGCAAAGCGCTTGGTTTGAGGAGGTCCACAGCCTGAGAAGAGGCAGCTGAGACACCCAGACACTTACAGGACATGATGAGCTGCCACTATCCACGTAACAGCCCAGAAGCATCCCTGTCAAACACTGCACTGACTTTAATATTGCTTCCCTCACTAGGCAGTCTAACACACTGTTACTCATTTTGCATCACCAGCACAGACTACAGTATTGTGGTTTTGGGTAAATGAGAGGCTTTATAAGGGAACTAGATGGTTAAGAAATCGTGTTGAACTGCAAAGAAGGAAATAGCATTTTAGATCTGGGTCATACGGTTGGTTGGAAGAATACAGAGCAAGGAAGACCCCATGGGAATGGAGGGTGATAGGCCTGGATCATAGGGTGTATGTGCAACTGGGTCCATACCTGTGCGTGCATGTGAACATCTGTGTGCATGGGTGCATATGTGTGTGCTTGTGCACCTGCATGTGTGTGGATTGCATGCATGTTTGTATGTGTGTGTGTGTACACATGTATGTGTGTTTGTGTGTATCAGGAAGGGGATTAAGGGAAACAGTGGCAGGGAAAGAGCCTTGAAATGTAAGTTGGGGTCCAATCAGAAAAGGCCCGTACCCAGTACATTAAAACCCAGATAACTCACCTCACAAAAACCTGGCTTCAGATATAACAGGCCTGGAAACTGGCTCCCAGCCTCTGTCCGTTCCATGTTCTCAAATACTTTAATTTCGGCCAAATAAAAAGGATATAGAGGGAAGGAAGAGACAAGCCACCAAGAAAAGTAGAGGTTGGTTCCCTGTGTCCCCATTATTATAACAGTAGAAGATCAGGCTAAAGTTCAAAAATGAAATGGATTCACCAGGAAATTCCTGGATCCAGAGTCACTCTCTGAGGTAGCTAAACCCAGAGCAGGCACATTCCGGGAACAGCACCCAGCAGCTACCAGGACAGGGATGTATTTGAACCTTAGAGGAGCCCTCTCAGAACCTCCAGCCAATAGGATGGCCCAGTTTGCTGCGATCGGTTCAATAATTTCCAGACAACATCACCCTGCATATTATGTGGCATAATTTTTGAACCTCACTGATTGTATTATGCCAGGCTGGACTCGGGAACCTTGGAATTATATGCCTAAGTAAATAGGAACTACTTAAATTTAAAACCTCAGTTTTATGAACAGATTTTCATTTTAGAAAGACAATTGTGTCAGTTGTAGATGCAATTCAGAAGAGGGGGCAAATTTAAGAGAATTTGAGAGGCTATCTCAGCAGGAGGCAGCCCAGTAATCACACATGGGACTGGGGAGTAGCTCTGTACAGCACATCAAATGATGTAGTCACTCAGGCATAGGGAATTAAGGGGGAGAAGCAGGGCTGCGTGCAGGAGAACTGACATATTGGGATTGATAACAGGGATGGGTATATCAGAAACAATTTACAAAGGACATAATTCAGAAGCCATCATAAAATCTAAAATTGTAATTTCAGAAGTATAATTCCAAGCACATTTTAAGTCAGTACAGTTATACTTGATTCTCTACTCTTCTGTAATCTAACTTATTTTCAATTTCTTTTTCATCAATATATGAATACTACTTACTGGAAGGAAATCACACGTCTTTTCTCCAAAGAGCCTGTTGGCAGTTCTAAGCAAGTACTGAGTGCCAGTTCTGTTAACTTCACTGAGAAGTGACTGGAAACCTTGGTGAATATCTCCGTCCTTGTACAAACAAAGTGCCTGGGAACAGAAACCAACACTGACTTTTAACACTGCCATTATGCTCTCCCAAAGAGCTTCCTCCGAACAAACCTCTGTACTAAAAAAATCACACAGGATCCTACTTTAAAAAGGTTTGGCCTAATTCTCTAGCACACGGTTTCTCAACGTGGGCAACGTAGCACTGACACTTGGGGCCAGGACACTTCCTGGTCTCATATAAGCGTTGTAGGATTTTTGCAGCACTTCTGGCTTCTATCCACTAGATGTCAGTAGCACCTCTCAGTTATGGGATCTAAAACTCCAGGTCTTGGCAAGGGTCCCCAGGAAGGAAAAATTCACCCACCGACCCCTACCTCCCATCACCGACCCCTACCTCCCACCCCCAACCACTAGTCTAGCAAATTTATTCATCCCAGCAAGGCACTGTGCAATAATTCAGGGGGAAGGCAGAGCAGAAAAAAGTAACTGGGATGAATTACGACTCAGGTAATACAAACAAAAGCAGCAATAAAACTAAAAATGTTTCATCTGCAATTTTACAGAAGTTCTCCAGACCATATTATAAATTAAATGTCAAGTCAGAGTGAGAATTAAGGTTGTTCCTATATCTCTCAATCACCTGCAGTCCAAAGCCTCACTCCTCCAATCAGTTGAAAGAAACAACCACAGAAGGATGTCAACTGGGGTCCCTAGGTGCATTTTAGGAGATTGTCTATACACCCCTGATATTGGTGGTAAAGTGACATCCATTTGGCAATTATCTCGGACATTTTCACCAATAGTCAGAGAACTATTCCTAAAGTATTATCTCCCACCTCGTTTGTAGATAAGGTTATATATACATCACCAGTTTGAATCAAACAGATTATATATTCCTCTAAATCACTCCAGAAGATATAAGTCTATGCTTGTATTACATTCCTTTCCCAGGATGCATAATCGTGCACTAAAAATAACCCACTTAACAAAAAGTTAATCTAGGCAGCTGCATGTCTGTTTAAAATATAATGTTAGCAAAAGTTTAAAATGTAACAAGGTTGGAATATGTTGCCTTCTTGAGGGACAGAATGATAGTTTATCTTACTTATCAAAGGTGTGAATTTGCCAGACTGTACTGATGGTCTGATCTAGAGAAAATAACTCTATGCCTTGATTTCTCTCAAAAATATCGGAGGAGGTGATCTGTCTAACATATTTCACCTTTCTACCCCTTTCTGCTCTTCTCCACTGCCGTGCTGCTCCCCTTTCCACCTCCAGCTCCACAGGCTTTCATCGGCTGTAGCAAAAGTACAGAAAGACAATTCGATGGAAGCACAGGGAAACATGCCGTTCTCCTTCCTTTGCGACACGCACACATACCTGGGACATCTGGGCTGCGGTGCTTCCCTTTGCCCCCATGAAGACCATGGCCAGGGCAGAGGAGATGCTCATGGGAGAGAAGAATACATTTCTTGAGTTGTCCTCTTCCCCTAATATTTTAAATAAGCTGATGGCAAAAGTGCCATTTGCTTCACAGAGGTCATCCATCAGGGAAGGTCTGCATCAAAGGCACAGCACAGAAAAGCACATCAGCCAAGCCCTCCTGTGGCCACACAGTCATTCGTCCCCGAGTCAGTAGACACTGAGGTGGTAGGTGGAATAACCACCCCCCAAAAGACTTCCACTCCTAATTCCCAAAACGTGACAACATGATCTTCCCTGGCAATAAGGACTTTGCAAATGGTACTCAGTTAAGTATTTTGAGATGTGAGATTATCCTGAGTTATCCCAGTGGACTCAATGGAATCATGAGGGTCCTTATAAGAGAGACGCAGGAGGGTCAGAGTCGGAGATGGAGACATGAGGACGGAAGCAGAGGTCAGAGGGGTAGGGGCCACTGATGAAGGAATGTGACCTCCTTGAGAAGCCAGAAAAAGCAAGGAAACAGATTTTCTCCTAGAGATTCCTGAAAATAACATTGCTCTGCTGTACCATTTTGGACTTAGGACTTCCAGACCTGTAAGATAATAAATGCGTGTTGTTTTCAGCCACTAAATGTGTGGTAAAGGGTTACCACACCAATAGGAAACAAAAACACTGGTTTATTCATAAAATAGCCAATCTCAGGGCCCATGACTGGTACCCCTCTTAGCAACAGGGGCACAGACACTCTCCAAGACCTGCTTACTTGCTCCCTTGGTGTAGCAGCAGCCAAAAGGTCTTGGTGCGGATGGGTGTGGTGGGTCACACCTGTAATCCCGGCACTTTGTAAGCCTGAGGTGGGCAGATCACTTGAGGTCAGCAGTTTGAGACCAGCCTGGCCAACAAGGTGAAACCACATCTCCATTGAAAATTCAAAAATTATCCAGGCACGGTGGTGGGCAACTGTAATCCCAGCTACTTGGAAGGCTGATGCCGGAGAATCGCTTGAGCCCCAGGAGGTGGAGGCTGCAGAGAGCCAAGATCGTGCCACTGCACTCCAGCCTGGGCAACAGAGTGAGACCCCATCTCAGAAAACAAAACAAAACAAAACAAAAACAAAACAAACAACAACAACAAAAATCTTGGTGCCAGGTACTGTTCTCGGCACTTTCCATTATCACCCAACAACACATGAGGTCAGTACAATTACTGCCCCACTTTAGAGATGAGAAGACTGAGTGAGGTTTAGTAACTCATTCCAGAACCCTCAAGTAGTCATAAACACCTGGAACCCACAGTTTGATTCCAGAGCCTGAATTCTTAATCATCACACAAAATCCCCCCATTGCTGCTCATTAGCTTTCAGTTTAATGTCTACAACATAATCTACAAAGAATGTTTTAAACTTATAAATGTAGTTCTTTATCAATAAAAACTATTTCTGTCATCACGTCCTGTGAAAATAGCTAGATTCATTTCACCAAATGTGGAGAGTTTGTTTGAAATAGGCTGACGTAAAATATGGGGCTACCGGAAAGACAAAAATACATTACTTTTCAAGGTGACTCCAAAAAGATGTCCCATTTTCCCCAAGAACTGCTGAAACTGGGTTATGGAGTGGCAAAGAAAGCCCATAGTGTGGATATAAAATATGAAGCCCCAATCTGGTCATCGGGTGAGCACTTTTAATTAGGTGCATTGATTTTTGATTCCTCCTGGCTAAGAGAGTCTTAACATTCCCCTCAGCTTGAATAAACTTTAGACAACCCAAACTTGACTAAATAAACAAACTAAACAGGCTTCCTCCTGCCTCTAGGCCCTTTCTTCCTTTTTCTTAAAGCATTTTATTTAGAGAATTTGTCATTGTAAATTCTTTATCAGCCCCTTTGAGATGTAAATCTTTTTTAAAACGCTTCTTGCTAGTGTTACATCCCAGGACAGGTCTTTCTTTACATCCCAGGACAGTCTTTCTCAAAGACCTGGAAGCCATCCCTTTGAAATGTAATTATCAAGAAAGATATCATCCCTATCAACCAGTTCTGTGGAAGGTAGAAGCCTAACGGAAGGGGGCACCTTGCTTAAAGTGCTGAAAAGCTATTACAGCTTACTATTAATTATTATAATTTTAGTACTTTTTTTTGAGACGGAGTCTCACTCTGTCGCACATTATTACAAGTCCTACGTTATTGTTCATTTATATCAAACCTTATAAAAACTTGGCCTATTATTTCACAAAATATTACAGTTCACCAACTCATCTCAATTTTCCTGAGCCTTTTTGCTCTTACAATTGAGAACATTTGGGAAAATAAAAGGACAAATCATTATCTATAGTCTCATGATCCTACAAGATATTTTTTTCTATTATATTATCCTTTTTTTCATAAACATGTATAATGTTTAACTGAAAAAATGTAAAGTCAAACAAGAAAAATATGCTCCAGTTTTGAAAATTAGCAAATGAGCAAAACAAAAGTCCTGGAAACTCTATCTAGAGAGATATATAATCATCGTGCATGTGTTCATTTCTGTAAACAGATGGAGCCCTCATCCAGTTTCCCAGTTGGCCTACAAAGTGCCTGGTGCAGCAGCTTGGAAACGTACCCCCTTATTGGGGTCTGGACGGTCTTCTGGGTCTCTTTAGGGCACAAGAGGAAAGGGGAATTGAGTGGCTGAGACAGGGAAGTGGGGAACAACTGTATTAAACAAAGTATCTTCTTTTTTTTTTTTTTTGAGATGGAGTCTCGCGCTGTCGCCCAGGCTGGAGTACAGTGGCCGGATCTCAGCTCACTGCAAGCTCCGCCTCCCGGGTTTACGCCAATTCTCCTGCCTCCAGCCTCCCGAGTAGCTGGGACTACAGGCACCCGCCACCTCGCCCAGCTAGTTTTTTGTGATTTTGTAGTAGAGACGGGGTTTCACCGTGTCAGCCAGGATGGTCTCGATCTCCTGACCTCGTGATCCGCCCGTCTCGGCCTCCCAAAGTTGCTGGGATTACAGGCTTGAGCCACCGCCCACCGGCCCAAACAAAGTACTTCTCACTGTTGGATGTTTTGCTTCCTCCTGAGATATTTTGCTTACTCTTAAGATATTTTTAAACAGAGGGTGTCTTTTACTTCAACACAAAATGAGCTTTATATATTTTTAAAGTGTAAAGGGCAACACTCTAAATATGAACAACAGTCTAAAGCAGTGCAATTCTTAAAGTTTAAAATAAATGTTAGCGCAGTTCTGAAAAAAACAAGTGGGGTTAGGGTTATGGTTTGGTTCAAAAAAACTAAGTAAAATAAATGTGAACCAAGAAAACACAATCATGGCATTAATTTGCACCAACATACTCTATACCTTAACTAAGGTTGTTTCTTACGGAACAAAATGTTCCGGTTCCTCACTATCCTCACATCATAAGGCCTCTCCGGAGCTTATACTAGGGCCTGCAGATGTTGGAAGCCAGAGGAGTCTGTGCAGGCAAGTCCCGGGGTCCCTCATGACCTCATCTTTCACTTGAGGACATGTCAGAGACTGGGGGGCAGGAAGGAATAGTCAAACTTCATAGAACTGGGCCTACCAGAAGGTGGCACCAAACAAACTTAAAGATGGAGAGAATTAGGTAAACTGGGTAAGACAGAGACACAAATAAACTTGGATTTGATCCAACCTTAGCATAAGAGCTTTGGACTCAGGGTGAAGCAAGCATGAACTTAGGTTGGGGTGTGTGTGTGTAGGTGTGTTTCATCATCCTGTCTGAACTACTCAATCAATAGTTTCAATAGTTCTGAATGAACTGAACTATTGCATCAATCTCATCTTTACATTTTAACTGCTCTTAGTTGCAAACCGCTACTTCTGATTTCTTCCGTCTTTCCTCTTCCTTCATCTCATGTCCCCACTTCCATTCCTTTTCAACACTCAGGTGCTGGTCAGTATGTGGTATTTCCCATCAATATCTACCCTTCAGCCACAATACACATGCACACACTCACATACAAGCGTACCCCCTTGGCCTCTGCTCAGGTCAGAAGTCAGGCAGGGGAGAAAACCAGGTAACAGAATGACTCTTCCCCCCGTCTTCCTCTCAAATCTCATTTGGACATTATGGCTTTTAGAAGGATTGGAAGTTTAAACAAAATGGATTTTACCCAATATATCTAAAAAGCAATTAATTTTAATACAAAATAATACTTTAGATGTCAATGCCACAATTAGATTATGATATAAAAAAACAGGAATCAGAAGTTTTTATTTCCAGCCAACCAAGTAAATTGGCATTAAACTAGTTTTTCCTTTACAGGCGAACAAATAAGGACAGAGGCAATTAAATACTGTCTGTGGGACTCAAAGAAAAAGTGAGAGTCAGCCTCAAAAGCAAGTCTTACGTTTCCAAGTACATGATATTGTTCTCCTGGGAGCCCCAAATACCTATGAACTCCCTCCTCCACTCCCCCTCCCCATACAACATCCAAAAGTGAGTTTACTCAAAGAGCATTTATGTAGAATGTTCATTACCTGTTTTGGGAGGAGACAATGAAAAATAAATGCCATAATCCCTTACCAGAAGCTTACACCCTAAAGAAGACACACATATAGAAAGGCGTAGTTTCAAACCAGTCAGGTGCTCTATAACAGGATAATTTTCAAAGTGCTAAGGAAGTCCTCAGAAAAGAAAAAAAAGAAAAAGAAAACCACCTCTATAGAATCCTGGAAAGACCTTCCAGAGAAGCTGGCTGAAGCTGGCTTTAAAAGCTGGGCAGGCCAAGCTAATTTATAGATTCAATGCCATCCCCATCAAGTACCAGTGACTTTCTTTCACTAACGAATTCGGAAAAAAACTACCTTAAAGGCTCTCATATGGAACCAACAAAAAGCTCACCTATTGCCCAGACAATCCTAAGCTAAAACGAACAAATGTTGGAAGGCCATCACCACTACCCTGACCTTCAAACTAACGACCAAAGGCTACAGTAAACCAAAAACCAGCATGCGTACTGTACCAAAAGCCAGAGATATAGACGCCGTACCGGAACACAGAACAGAGGCCTCCAGAAATAACACCCACCACCCATCACAACCAATCTGGATCTTTTGGCAAAAACCTGACAAAAAACAGACAATCGGGAAAAGATTTCCCTATTTTAAAAA